CATTGGCGTAGTGTTTCTTTACTGTGTTACCTATTTGGAAACACAAGATCTACAGATGACTGTGTAAGTTTTCTCAAAAAGTGTTTATTGGCTTACATTTTAACCTCGATATAACAAAAATAAGATTCTGAAGCCTGGGTTTTATTTCATAGCCTAAACAAAAAACCCAAATCCAAACCGTACACCTTGCACTTCACTGAAGGTGTGACTTTAATATATACAAACTATAATTTGCAGCTATATGGACTTTACTTAAGTTTTGTTTTCTGATGCATTGAACATCAAGATGACCCAACAGTCTCGTGTCAAGACACCTTTTCCTGTATGAAAGAGTTGGCTTTTAAAAGTATGTGGTTTCCTTAAGGAAATCTTTAAGCATAGTTTAACAATACCAAGTATTAGAAGTTATTTCCACATCTAGTTTTTAAACCAGGTTTAGTGTTGGAGAAGAGGTTGTCTACTAGCCTGGATAGGCATCAATAGGAATCAATGGAAAACCAGGATCAGCACAGAAAAGGATGCTGAAGCTGTAGTAATGGCTGCTCTCCTTGGAAAACACTGCGTTATCGCACAACAAAGGAGGTGCTGTGCTGCTGAAGGCACTTTTCAGTGGCTGAGGCAAACTTACCTGTGGAAGTTCCAGCCAGGATGCACAACTGAATATTGAGAGCCCTTCCCAAGAAACATGTGGGTGTTGAGGAGATGATGGAGCCAAACCAAGCAAGTTTCCATCCTTTAACTTTGTGCAGTTCTCCTATCCTCTACTGTGAGCAAGTTGCACTCCAGAGCTGTCACTGTCTCCATGATCAGGGACAAGATCTGACACCAGCCTCTGACGCTATTTATGATTTGCTGTGAGCTCTGTTGAGAGATCCACCAGCAGAGTCTGGTGTTTGGGACAGGGAAGGAAAATGGTTGGTGCAGCAGTGAAGGCACCTGATGGCACGTCCCACATCACTTGGCTCTGGACTTAATTCCAAACTTGCATTTGAAGTTGTAGAAGAGGGAAAGACAAGCTAACCAGAGCTACCTCCTTTCACAGAAAACTGTGGGAGCCTCCTCTTTCCCAGAATGACTGCCAAAATTACCACGAATTGGAATAATCACATTGTGCCTTTGGGTTCACATCCTGAACCTCTGACTCCAGGGCAGTAGTATACCTGTGCACTGACTTCCATTTAGCCATTTACATGTGGTCAGAATAACTGCTGCTGTAATTCCAGGCTGGAGCAGGTTTGTTGTTGAGCAGAACAGTGAACTGACCTAAACCATCATGAAAGCTGTTGAGTAGATGCTTGTGCCACCACTGTCATCCTCAGACCTTTTGGCTTACATATGTACCCTCGTACTGGAGACGACATTCCTCTTTGTAACAAGACATCAGGATAAACAAACATTCCTTTGATTTCCAGATTTTCTTCAGGCACACGAATATAAGGATACAGAACACCCCAACCCCTGTCAGGGATACTTATACCTACCTCATCTTTTCCATGGATATTGATATTCCCTAACACTAAAGGAGCACAGAGCTCAGAAGAACAGTTCACACAGGTTCAGGGCATTTTCTCTTCCATCTATTTTGAGATGTCTTAAGAGAGAACAGCTCCTTAAACTCCAATTAGATTGTCACGTTTTAACCCCTAAAAAATGCCATCTAAGTGAATAGCCTTAATAATCCTAAACAGGCTTCCAAGAAGTGGATTACAAAGAAGTAGGCTTCATTAAACAGAGATTTCATTTAACTCATCAAGGGGCATATGTTTTCCTCATCCATGCCTTTATTTGTGAGGGCACAGCATGTACTGCTTATTAATTATCCACCTAAAGATGTGGCCAAATCACTTCATACTTTGACAGAGTGTGAACCCTGGAAACATATCTGCAGAACTCTCATCTATAGCATCTTGCTGGAACCCAAAGGAAAATGAAGAGCAACCCATCAAAACCTTTGTAACACCACTACAGGTTAACTTGCACTGTGTCCTCTGGCCTTGTCTCTAAGCAAAAGACAACTGTTTATGCAAGAGACAAGCAGAAACACATGCTTTGGCTGGGTCAGTCTGCCAGCACTGGCTTCAGAGGAGTACTCTGTCTCACTGTTTGCTCTCTTGGTAATCCAGCTGTTTCCTAAGACCTTCTTCAGTGCCCCAGCCTGCAATAAACCTCAGCCTGGCCTTCTCGCATCTATTGCTTCAACAGTTCACTGCTCAGGCAAAACACTGTTATTTGCTTTAAGCAGTGAATCCCCAGGCAGCATAGCAAAACAGCCCACATTGCAGAGCCAACACCACGGGTTTTCTGCTTTTTCTGGTTCTCCTCCACTGGGTTTATTGTCTCTTGTTTCATCTCCTGTTAGAGAAAACCATGAACTAGTATTGAAATGGGGGCAACTTGCTATAGGCCAGACAAGGAAGCACTGACCACCCACAGCTAACCATTTATGCAACACCATGCTAATTTTAGTCTTGGATACATCCAGGGCAGAGACTCTCTAGAGCAGAGATGCTCAGCTCTCAGCTAAGGGCAGCACACGACATATGGTTGCTAAAGCATTCTCCTAGCAGGCAGCTTTACATTTAGGGCCGAGTTGCTACAGTTCCCTCCAAGTCATAACTTTGAGGATTACTCATCCTAGACATGCAAAAGCAGAGCATTTGCCTCCTAATTTAGCTAGCTCCTGCAGCCTCTCTGAGTCAGCATGCAGTTTCACCCTCACTGGGGTTCTATTTCCAGCCCTTGACTCACTTCCAGTAAGGTCTGAACTTACGTACCCTGACACTCAAAGGCTAAGAGAAGCACGGAAGAGGAGTGAATAAAGTTCAGCAGACCAAGGGCTGTACCACATATCCCACTGGGGCAGCTTGGGCAGGCAGGTTTGAAGCTCATGCCGCAGACTCTGTTGGTCATTGATCCTGCACTGAGCTGTGAAACAACAGCATCTTGCCAGCCCAGCTGAGAACTGGAGGCAGTTTTCATCAGGATGCATCCAAAATGATAACTGCAACTCCAGCTGATCCATCCTGAATGTGCTATTTATAGCAGACAGTGGAGGCCGAGATGGATTGCATCATACAGCAAGGTTGGCAGTAGAAAGCACTAACGCAGCATTAACCATTTCAAGTCACTTTGGATATTAAACCCCTTACAGGATTGCAGTGAGCTCTTTAGTGGGCTATGTGAGCAGCTGTGGCACTTGGCTAATAAACCTTTTCCTAGATCCCTTGGAACGGCCTCTGGCTGCTGCTCTGCCTCTGGCACCTTTGCTCATTCAGCCCGCAGTTGACTGTGCTGGTAGGAAACACAAGCACAGTAAAATCAAAGAACCAAAACATCCTATGACATGTTAACTTCAAGCTCCATTAGAACCAGTGGAAGAAAGAAAATCAATACTGAGTGAATAAACACCAGCTTATTGGGAGATACTCTTCTCCCAAGTGTCTAAAAGTGCTTACAAAATATGCCCCAAAGCAAGGGATTAGAAAAAGCATAACTAATTCAGACAGAGAACAAAGAGCTCTCCTCGGATCCTCTATCGGGTCACAACATTCAGCCACAAGCTGTGTTTGATGAGCGAGGTCATGGTGACGAGTAAGGAGGAGGCAGCTCAGATGCATGGGTCCTGCACAGGGTGGGAGATGCGACAGCTCTGCCCTGTTCATATGACTAAGCCAGTCCCAGGCTTTGAGATATCATGATTCAGCCCATTCTCCTTTCAGCTGCCTCCATTTTAAATGCCAGGGACTCCAGCTGACTCATTCCTCCTTTCCTTCTTTCTGAGGTGAGGCAAGATGTGCTTTGGAGTCTAAGCAAAGCACTGCAGATTTTAATCTACTGAGTCAACACTAGAAATACCCTGATTAAAAACCAGATCTTTCCAGAAGGAGCAAGATTTATCTTAGCTCCCTGTCAAATGTTGGGAGACTGGAAAGAAGCTGAACAGGATGGAACTGCATTAGTTGGGCTCCAAGTATTCCTCCATACTACCATGGATACTCTTGCTTATTTTTTCCTCCTCCTGTGCACCAAATTCCATCCTTAGCAAGGCTCTCGTGCTTGCTTGGGAATCCTCACCAACTTAGGGAGGTCCCAAAAGCTGAGTGTATGTCAGAAAGATTGGGAGGGAGGAGGTTATGGGGCTGAGAGGCAGATGCAGGCTGGGTATGTTGGGATACACTCTGCTGACAGCCTGAGGAGGGACAGCTCTGCTGGGATGCTGCAGCTGCACCACAAATAGCAGTAAGGTTGGAGCAAACACACCCATCACAGAAATGGATGTCTGCTCCCACCCTGCTGCTTGCATTTGAAGACTTGAAGCAGCCCAGCAGGACAGTGACAGCTCAAAGCCAAGGAAAGAAATCTACAGGGTTCTACTCCAAGTCACCAGGAAGCATCTCTGCACTGGGAAGAGAGGATCCAGTCGTTCATATACACACACGCACACACACGCAGGCACACCTAGGCTGGCACATGGTCATTGCTGGTGCTCACAGTTAGCTGTCACCCTTGTGTTACTCCAGACAAAAAGCAAGCTAACTTCCTCTCCACCTGACTCTGAGGGGAGCAAAGGATGTTTTAAAGAAACACTACTGAGCAAAGTATGTTATGAAGACAGATTCCTTTGTATTAGCAATCAGTCGAGTAAGTCCAGGGACCAATTCAGGTGCCCCTCTGCTGCCCAGGGGGTTAAAAAACGTAAGAAAAACTCTCCAGCTTGGGAGGGGAGAGGGAAAACAGAGGGTGAAGAACACAGTAAATCAAAAAGTGCTTCTAGGAAAAGCAGCAGGATAAAACCCATCCCTACAGTCTGAGAGCACTTCCATGCTATTGACCGGAGAGGCAGCAATGGCCCCCCACATGCAGGTGTGATGCACATCTGCAAGCACCCTCCTCAGTGCCTGTGAAGACCGTTACCTCCCCCTGCCTCTGCCTGGTCTGGGCAGTGTTTAATACAGGAGCCAGTTCCCAGGAGGAGTTCCTGACTCCTCATTCCCAGAGTATTCCACTTCCCTTTAGCATCTTTCAGTAGTAGTCATTCTTCTTGCCATCAGCTCCCTGTATGTTTGCCCGGTCCTTCTGGTCTTGGACAAGTTCCAGGTCATCACTGTCATCCACCTCACCTCCATGATCCTCCTGCATGTAGACAAACAGCCAGGAAGGAAAAATCAGTAAGGCCTGCAAATGGAGAGCCTAAGCAGCCTGCCATGTTGCTTCCGAGTGTAGCTGTTCTACCACACCAGCTCAGTTTGGGAAATGAAGGGAAACAGGGAGAAATCCATCTCTGCCAGGGACCTTTAGGAGTCATTGGCAAGCCACTTAGCCAAGACACAGAGGGGGCATGGGCAGAGCACCATCCCTTACTGCCCAGAAAGCACCAGGGTGATCTCTAGCACTCATGCTCTCAATCTTTGGCGGCCTCCAGTCTTTCTCCTACAGGGATTGTCAACTTGACACTGACTACAGTAGTCCTGGAGCTCCGAGACACAGCAACAATACCTGTTTTTCAGTCAAACAGAGGAGCAGTTGCTATCTGAGAACCTGTACACCACCTCCCATGTTTGCCTCAGGAGTGGGACATCACATTCTTCTGCCACAAATACCTTTGTTCAATAAAGAAAAAGGAGCAGAGGTGAGTGGGTCCAGGTTAGTTCTGGAGACCCACATCACCGAGCAGACAGAGACAAACCTGAAGTCAGTGCTCACATCTGCTTTCCCAAGTGACAAGTCCCACTCAGCTCCTGGCTACCACCATACCCAGGTAACAATCACACCAGAGAGGGAAA